CTTCTGTTCTGTAATGTGATTTGTCCTTTTCATGTGTGTTCATTTTTTTTAATTGTATCCTTTGGTATATATGGTTGTGACTATTTTCTTCTACTATTTGATCTGAGGAAGTGGGTCTGGCCCACGAAAGCTCATCATCTAATAAACCATCTTGTTAGTCTTTAAAGTGCTACATAGTCCTGTATTTTGTTTCAGCTACACCAGACTAACACGGCTACATCTCTATCACTATTCTGGACCTATGTTCTCAATATATCAGGAGTATGAATTAAATAGCTTTTACTGAAGGGGGATAAATATATCTTCTATTGTCATTCAATGTATTTGATTGCCATTTCATGACATACATTTCTTGTTTGAAACTAATGTCTATTGTATCTAAATTATCCTTTTTTCCCCTTCAGACAGCCTGTTTTCGAGAAGAGAGGGATGTACTAGTGAATGGAGATAACCAGTGGATCACAACATTGCACTATGCCTTCCAGGATGAAAACTACTTAGTGAGTGCTCCTTTATATCTCTATTAAAGTCATTTAGACCTTTAGTCTGTGATATTGAGATATAATGTGTGTGTGTGCTCAGTTTTTGAAATTGAACATCTGTAAGCATCAAAACCTTGTCAAATGCATAATTGGCTACGTCTACACTGGCCCCTTTTCCGGAAGGGGCATGTAAATTTCACCTATCGTAGTAGGGAAATCCGCGGGGGATTTAAATATCCCCCGCGGCATTTAAATAAAAATGTCCGCCGCTTTTTTCCGGCTTTTAAAAAAGCCGGAAAAGAGCGTCTACACTGGCCCCGATAAGTAGGAATAAGAGCCTCCGGAAAAGGGCGCTTTTTCCGGAGGATCGGGGCCAGTGTAGACGCTCTTTTCCGGCTTTTTTAAAAGCCGGAAAAAAGCGGCGGACATTTTTATTTAAATGCCGCGGGGGATATTTAAATCCCCCGCGGATTTCCCTACTACGATAGGTGAAATTTACATGCCCCTTCCGGAAAAGGGGCCAGTGTAGACGAGCCCATTGAGTATAGAGTTTCATAGTATGGAAACTAGTCAGGATGTTTAGTGGATCTGGACGCAAATATCTCAAGATACTAGTTTCCTTTGTTCCCTGTATGAGTCTGCAGTTACTGGGCAGGCTTCTGCAATCAGTTGGTATCAGGTCATGTGACTATGCTTTTTTTTGGGAGTGCTCTTGAAATTATGTTACTGTATCTTTCTATAATCATACCATTTACTTTTAAAAATAATCCTAGTGAAATTCACATAATGAAATACAGGTTGAACCTCTCTAGTCCAGCACCCTGGGGACCTAACCGGTGCTGAACGAGAGAATTTGCTAGACCACAGGAAGTCAATATTGTCTAGCAGCATTACCAATACTTTCACTGTTTAGGGGTAAATTAGACCTAAATAATAGCACAGAACACTGAGACCAAGGACTGGTGGGTGTAAACAAACTTCATGGGAAACTCAGCCACACCCAAGATTAGTGGACATTCAGCTAACTAAAATCATTTCAGACCACAGATGTTGCCGGAACAGAGAGTGCTGGACTAAAGAGATTCAAGCTGTAA